GGCTGTGTATGAATGCATAAACATGTTTGTGAGTCTTGTGTGTATGAGTATTGTATGTATCTGCGTGAGTTTATGAGTATGGGAGATTGTATCTATTTTCATACATTGTGTCTTAATAATCTGTGCATGTGTACTGGTGTGTGTTTTTTGTGTATTTTCTGTGTTTTTGCATTTGTGGTTATGTATGGGTGTGTCTTGATAGGTCTGTGTATATAAGACAGCGGGAATGAGGGAGAAGGTGAGTGTTCTGTCTTCAGGACCAATATTTAGCAAGCACTAACCAAGGTTCTATTTTTACTTTGCTTTGTAAGTATTCCCTTGCTGATCCTCCCTGGCCCTTCAAACCCCAACCAAAATGCCACATTCTCTAAAAGACATTCCTGGATTTGAGTGGGAATTAATCTCTCCCCTCTTATTTCCCCACCACCCCTTGTTTATGCATTGATTACAGCCCTGATCTACCAATTTACCTCATCCTTGCCTCTTCCTAAAAGGATTAAGGATGGCTTTCAGAAATATATACAACAGGATAAATCGAATTGCCCACATGGCTTTATTACTTCTCATAGGCATGCATCAGCCTTAATACTAGAACTTGTTATTTATGTGTCTGTCTCTTACATCAGCTGTTCTCCCTGTTCTCAGTACCTAGCAGGGGTAACACATGTAAGTGCTAACCCATGCTGGTTAAATTGAATTAATTGAAGTCTTGTGGTGCTTGTGGGAGGAGCTTGTGTCTTTAGAGTCAGACAGACTTGGTTCGTGACTGCCAACTCTGTGACCTTGGAGGAAACCTTTCACCTCTCTGAGCCTCAGTTTTCTCTTTTTTTTTTTTTTTTTTTTTTTTTTTTAATTTGAGACAGAGTTTCACCCTTGTCACCCAAGCTGGAGTGCAATGGCGCCATCTTGGCTCACTGCAACCTCCGCTTCCCAGGTTAAATCCATTCTCCTGCCTCAGCCTCCCGAGTAGCTGGGATTACAGGCACCCACCACCAGGCCCAGTTAATTCCTGTATTTTTAGTAGAGACGGGGTTTCATCATGTTGGCCAGGCTGGTCTCGAACACCTGAGATCAGGTGATCCTCCCGCCTAGACCTCCCAAAGTGCTGTGGTTACAGACATGAGCTGCCGGGCCAGGCCAGTTTTCTCATCTATTAAATGGGGCCAATAAATCATCTCCCATTTGTTGAGCTAAGGATTGAGGAGAATGGTTTTACAGAGCCTAGCACACAGACAGTGCTCAAGGTGTGTAGGTTCATATTTTTGTTATACTATTGCTAACTTTGAGCTTTGTTGGCTGAAGGACCAGAGCAGAAACCCCTGCCCCGTAAGTTCCCCATCAGGTGACATGGCCTGACAGTTGCCCTACCTGATATTTCCAAATGATATCTGAAAAGTGCTGGGTTGGCCCTGAGCTTTGCTGTATCAGAGGTTCTCTGGCAAGGGGGAAAAAGCTGATGCAGCTTCTTGGCCAGGAGAGACACAGAGCAAATGACTAGAAGACCTTGTCTAGTGATTCAGGTCAGCTCTCTGCCTTAGGCAAGGATCATCCATGCCAGGGCTTTTAAGATGGGATAATTAGCCTGTAATATGTATAGAAAATATTGAATTTTTTGAAAGATATTAGTAATTTAAATGTATTAATGTCCATTCAACATTTAATTCTTAAATTTCCGTAATCTTAAATCTTCCTTAATCTCTAAACTACAAGATGACTTTCTTAGGAATTATGTTTGTGTTTAAAAATTGGAAACACCTTACATATCTGTCATCAGAGAAAGGTATTATTATACCAGTTAAACTTAATCATATAAAGTCATTGTACGTGTAGCTATGAGGACAGTATAGCAAATATTAATAGTAATAATTGAGCTCATAGTCTGTGCTAGACACTATACCAAGAGCTACATATGAATTATTTTGTTTAATCCTAAGAACCCCAGGAAGTAGGTACTATTGTGTCTTAGTCCATTCGGGCTGCTGCAACAAAGTACTGTAGATTGTAGCTTGTAGACAACAAAAAATATATCTCTCTCAGTTCTGGTGCCTGGGAAGTCCAAGATCAGGGCACCAGCAGATTCAGTGAGTTCCCTGGGTGTCCTTTAAAAGGACACTAATTCCATTCATGATGGCTCTGCCCTCATAACCTAATCACCTCCCAAAGGCTTCCAAATACTTTCACATGAGGTGTTAGGATTTCAACGTATAAATTTTAGAGGGACACAAACATTCAGTCTATAGTCTATTATTATCTGCATTTTACAGATAAGGAAACTAGGACGCAGGTTAAGCAACTTGCCCATGGTCACTTAGTAAATAATAGAGCTAGAAATCAAACTGAGGCTGGCTGGCTCCCACTGACACCCTTAACTATAAAGGGAAAATACTTATAATGGTAAGAAGAAAAGAAAAAAATTATAGCTGTGACACTCTGTGTAACAGAACATCAACTGGCACTTTTTCTGTTGCCCCAGAACTGTAGCTAAGGCCCATGAGACCTGGAGCCAAAGGCTTAGGGAAGGACCACAGAACAGCAGGAGTCAGAGAGGGCCTTGTTGGAGCCAATGTGCAGCCTGACTTTTCTCCTAGGCAAAGGAGATGCTGTAAAGGGCCCCATCTGATTTCTCACTTTATAGTCAGCACCTAGCACAGTGTCAAATACGCAGAAATGGCTCAAGAATTGTCTGTGAGCCAGGCACGGTGGCTCACGCCTGTAATCACAGCACTTTGGGAGGCCAAGGTGGACGGATCACAAGGTCAGGAGTTCAAGACTAGCCTGGCCAGGCTGGGCACGGTGGCTCATGCCCATAATCCCAGCACTCTGGGAGGCCAAGGCGGGCAGATCAGGAGGTCAGGAGATTGAGACCATCCTGGCTAACATGGTGAAATCCCGTCTTCACTAAAGATAGAGAACATTAGCGGGGTGTGGTGGTGGGCGCCTGTAGTCCCAGCTACTCGGGAGGCTGAAGTAGGAGAATGGCGTGAACCTGGGAGGCAGAGCTTGCAGTGAGCCGAGATCATGCCACTACACTCCAGCCTGGGCGACACAGCAAGACTCCGTCTCAAAAAAAAAAAAAAAAAAAAAAAGAAGACTAGCCTGGCCAACATAGTGAAACCCCATCTCTACTAAAAATACAAAAAAGTTAGCCAGGTGTGGTGGTGAACGCCTGTAATCCCAGCTACTCGGGAGGCCGAGGCAGGAGAATTGCTTGAACCTGGGAAGCAGAGGTTGCGGTGAGCCGAGATTGTGCACTCAAGCCTGGGCAACAGAGCAAGATTCCATCTTGAAAAAAAATTTTTTTTAATTGTCTATGAAGTCTTATGATGTGGCAGATGCTGTTCCAGGAGTTTTACATTCATAACACATTTATTCCTCAAAGACAAGGCTATCATCTGCACTTCAAAGAAGAGGAAACTGAGCCTCCAAGAGCTGAAGGGACTTACTTGCCCAAGGCCCTTGTGACTCAAAAGCCCAGGCTCTTCTCTATCACTACAGTCCATTAATGTGGCCGCTATGCGTTGCACATAGTAGGAGGTCAGTGAACACATACTAAAAGAAAGGCTACACATGCACCAAATTTAACCCTTCTGCTAGAAAAGAGAAGCTTTGGGAGTGAGAAAATAAAAGAAAGCATAATAATATGATAGATATGGCTCAGCAAAATAACTTCATCTCCCAGACTCCAATAAAACACAGACACCTTTCCCCTTTCTTGTTTCATTGAAACAGCAATGCTGACATGGACTATTTCTAATCCTGCCGGAGGCTGGCCTCCTATCAGATGTGGCTAAATGCAAGGTTTGGCATCTTCTGCAGACAACTGTGGGATTATGGGGCCACTGTTCACAAAGTCGGCCCAGCAAAGGACACTAACAGACAAGTCACAGAAAGGAATACAAATGACTAAGAAATATGAAATACTGCATATGCAACTTGAGTAATTAAAGAATTTCAAGTTGAGATAAGGAGTTGCCATTTTTTTAACCTATTGATTTGGCAACAATTTTTACAAACTGGTAATATTTGTTATGGTCTCTCACGTTGATAGAAATACAAAGTGAAACAACCTTTCCAGGAAGCCTTAAAAGTGTTTATACTCTTTGACCCATTATTTCCACTTTTTTTTTTTTGAGTCGGAGTCTCGCTGTTTTTGCCCAGGCTGGAGTGCAATGGTGCGATCTTGGCTCACCGCAGTCTGCACGTCCTGGGTTCAAGCGATTCTCCTGCCTCAGCCTCTCAAGTAGCTGAGATTACAGGCATGCGCCACCATGCCCAGCTAATTTTGTATTTTCAGTAGAGATGGGGTTTCTCCATGTTGCTCAGGCTGATCTCGAATTCCCGACCTCAGGTGATCCGCCTGCCTCGGGCTCCCAAAGTGCTGGGATTACAGGCGTGAGCCAGTGCACCTGGCCCATTATTTCTGCTTTTAATAATCTATCCAAAGGTCAGGCACAGTGGATTATGCCTGTGATCCCAACACTTTGGGAAGCTGAGGTGGGCAGATCACTTGAGCCCAGGAGTTCAAGACCAGCCTGGGCAATGTGGTGAAACCCCGTCTCTACTAAAAAAAAAAAAAAAAAAAAAAAATACTAAAAATTAGCTGGGCATGGTGGTGTGCACCTGTAGTCCCAGCTACCTGGGAGGCTGAGGTGGGAGATCACCTGAGCTTGGGAAGTCGAGGCTGCAGTGAGCCATGATCATGCCACTGTACTCCAACCTGGGCAACAGAGGGAGCCCCTGTCCCAAAAAGAAAAAGAAAAAAAAATCTACCCAAGGGAAATAAATAATCAGATGTAAATATATATGTACAAAAATGTTCACCAGTGTTATATAATTATAAAAATTAGAAAAATCTAAACAGTTAACAAAGGATTAGTTGAGTACTTTGTGCTCTATGATGTTTCTATGTAGAAATACTATACATCTATAAAAAATGATACTCACCTGCCCAGCGCTGCCTGCCCAGCACTGTCCACCCAGTGCCTGTCCCCAGACCGAGGCCCAGTCCCCTTTGCCCTTGTCCATCAAAGGTGCCGCCAGCGTGTCTGACAAACTGCCCTACAAAGTTGCTGACATCGGCCTGACCACCTGGGGACACAAGGCCCTAGACATTATGGAGAAGGAGATGCCGGGCCTGATGAGCATGCAGGAGCTGTACTTGGCCTCCAGGCTACTGAAGGGCGCCTGCATTGCTGGCTGCCTGCAAGTCACTGTGGAGATGGCCATCCTCATTGAGACCCTCATTTCCCTGAGTGTTCAGGAGCAGTGGTCTAGCTGCAACATCTTCTCCACCCAGGACCATGCAGTGGCTATCTTTGCCAAGGCTGGCATACCAGTGTTCATCTGGAAGGGCAAAACAGATGAGGGGCACCCATGGTGCATTGAACAGACACTGTACTTCAAGGACGGGCCCCTCAACATGATTCTGGATGATGGGTGTGACCTTACCCGCCTCGTCCACACCAAGTACATACCCACAGCTCATGTCGGGCATCTGAGGCATCTCTGAGGATACCAAAACCGGGGTCCATAACCTATACAAGGTGATGGCCAATGGAATCCTGAAGGAGCTTGCCATCAACGTCAATGACTCCATCACCAAGAGGAAAACTGACAGCCTCCATGGCTGCCCGGGAGTCCCTCATAGATGGCATCAAATGGGCCAAGATGTGATGATTGCCAGCAAGGTAGCAGTGGTAGCAGGCTATGACAATGTGGGCAAGGGCTGTGCCCAGGCCTTGTAGGGTTTTGGGGCTCATGTAATCATCACCGAGATTGACCCCATCAGCACACTGCAGGCTGCCATGGAAGGCTATAAGGTGACCACCATGGACGAGGCCTGTCAGGAGGGCAACATCTTTGTCATCACCACAGCCTGTGTCAATATCATCCTTGGCCGGCACTTTGAGCAGATGAAGGATGATGCCATCTTGTGTAACACTGGACACTTTGACGTGGAGATCGATGTCAGGTGGCTCAACAAGAATGTTGTGGAGAAAGTAAACATCAAGCCCCAGGTGGACTGGTACTGGCTGAAGAATGGGTGCCACATCATCCTGCTGGCTGAGGGTTGGCTGGTCAACCTGGGTTGTGCCATGGGCTGCCCCAGCTTTGTGGGGTGTAACTCCTTCATCAACCAGGTGATGGTGTAGATTGAGCTGTGGACCCACCCAGACAAGTACCCCATTGGGGTTCACTTCCTGCTCAAGAAACTGGATGAAGCAGTGGCTGAAGCCCCGGCTGGGGCAAGCTGAATGTGAAATTGACCAAGTTAACTGAGAAGCAAGCCCAGTAGCTGAGCACATCCCGCGATGGCCCCTTCAAGCTGGATCACTACTGCTGCTGAGAGTCCGGCCTGCCCTTCACCTTCCAGCTGCTGTCCTTGCTCAGGCCCCATCTCTTCTCCCTAAGAGCAAATGGCACCAACTTTGCGATTGATTTGTCAGTGTCTCCCATTGATGGGGCTGGTCACTCAGTTTTTGGCCTCTGCAGCATCCCTCACACTCTATCAAGTGTGGCAGGGGGAACTGAGAGGCCTCTCCTCAAGCCCTGGTCATGATGGAGGTACAAGGGAGGCATCCACAGGGAACCATGAGTTGAATGGTCTTGGAACTGCTCACTAAGTCAGTCCTTCCTTAGTCTGGAAGTTGGTAGTGGAGTCACAAAGCCCGTGTACCTTACCATTCAGGTAAGGTTCCGGGTCTGTGGACTTATATCCGTGTGCTTGGTTTATAGGTTCAGTGGTTCCTCAGCCCATGGCAGATGAGAAGGAGCTACATTGAAGGGCAAAGAGGAACTGTTGTTTGACTTTTCCTGAGAGCCTGGCTTAGGGCTGGGCCTTCTCTTAAACCTTATAACAATGAGGTTGGTACTTTTAGTCCCTGTTTTACAGGGGTCAGAATAGACTTTAAAGTGATAACTGAGAAAGGACAGAGAAGTGACAGCCAGAGGGGCCATAAAAACATAAAAGCAGGCATAGATCTGCTACCACTTTGTAATAAGATGGTTCCTATCACAACCCTGGGTCAAAAAGATAATAATTTGGTTTATAATGTTAAAAGAAAGCAGGAAAGTGGGTAAATAAAAATCTTGGTAACTGAAAAAAAAAAAAAAAGATGATACTCAGGCACAGTGGCTCATGCCTGTAATCCCAACACTTTGGGAGGCCCAGGCGGGCGGATTGCTTGAGCTCAGGAGTTCGAGACCAGCCTGGGCAAAATGGTGAAACCCCATCTCTACCAAAAATACAGAAAAATTCGCCTGGCATGGTGGTTGCACCTGTAGTTCCAGCTATTCTAGAGGCTGAATTGGGAGGATCACTTAAACCCCAGAGGTGGAGGTTGCAGTGAGTGGAGATGGTGCCACTGTACTCCAGCCTGGGTGACAGAGTGAAACCCTGTCTCAAAAAAAAATAAATAAAAAGATACTTATGAAGGAAATTCTTACGATATAAAATTGTGGAAAAAATCGTTAATATAACTATTTATGCCATGACCCCCAATTATGTAAATGATAATATATGCAGAGAATAAAATACCAAAAGGAAATACACCAAAATGTTAACATTCTTTTCTTCTGAGTGACTGCATTATGGATATTTAACTTTTTTCTCCTTCATAGTTTTCTGCATTTTCCAATTTTTTTATAGTGAGCACTTATTACTCTCAAAAATCAATAACAATCAACAATAGAATTAATTTGAATCTGGAGATATGTCTCTGCCAACCACATCCCTGACCTGCCCTCATGGTATCTCAAGAGGATGAGAGGAAGAAAGGCTCAAGTTGTAAACCCACATTAAATGCAAGGCACCATCCCCAAACAATGAAGCTAAATGTTGAAATCCTGCTTCAAAGGTCCTCTGATGCTAAAATAAGCCCAGAAAAGCATTTGCTACAGTTCTTGGAGATCTATTGAAGGACGTCATTCACAGTGGGCACCAAGTCAAACCCTCACTCGTCATCAGTGTTGGCTGCAATACAAAGAATTTGAACCAATTTGGGGAGGAATAGGGTTGGAGCTTCACAAATAACTCTATCCCTTAGGTTGCTATCATTGTAATAAAGGGGATTACTGACAGGTGCACAGCACAGAGCTTTCCCAGCCATCATCTCATTTGAACTTGACAACAACCTGGAGAAAAGATGTTGATAGTAACAACAACAACAATAACAACGATGACGGAGACTTAACATTTACTGAATAATTATTATGTGCCAGGAATCCATTCTAAACACTTCACATACATTGTACCTTTTAATTAAAAAGCAAAAACAAAACAAAACAAAACCAGGGGCTTGCTCTGTCACCCAGGCTAGAATGCAGTGATATAATCATAGCTCACTGCAGCCTCAAACTCCTAGGCTCAAGTGATCCTCCTGCCTCAGCCTCCCGAGTAGCTGGGACTACAGGTGCACATTACCTTTTAAAAATTTTTTGTAGAGGTGGGGTCTTGCTATCTTGCCCAGGCTGGTCTTCAACTCCTGGTCTCAAGCAGTCTTCCCCTCAGCCTCCCAAAGTGTTGGGATTTCAGGCTTGAACCACTGTGCATTCCCCTTTTAATCTTTTTAGCCTTATCTGTGAAGTAGAAAGAGTGATTACCCCCACTTTAAAAGCTAGTATGTTGTCACTCAAAGTAGTCAAATGACTTGTCCCAGATCACCATGCTTACAAATGAAAGCATAGAATTTGTAGTCATTTCTTTAGACCTCAGGTCCAGATTTCCGCAACTGCCTACTGTTGTTCTTCAGCTTTGAGGTTTTTTTTTCATTGCTGTATTATTAGAGGAGACAGTAATTTAGCAGTAAAGAATGCCGGGTTCAAATCTGGTGTTTCTAGCTGTATAATCTTGGACAAGTTACTTTAGCTCTGTGTCTCAATTTCCTCCTCTGTAAAATGGGGATCATAATATTTATCTCATAGGCCTCAAAGTCAAATGAATATAAAGCTTTGAGCCAAAGTCTGCCCCGAAATGAACACTCAGAAGACCTTGGTATGTGTCTGATTTTCCTATACCTTGCCTTCTCACATAGACGGTCAAGGTCAGGAGGGTACAATGTCCTTGGGTTCAATGCCCAGAACTTATAGATTTTCAGAAGAGTCATACTCTCTGACTTCCATGGCCTCGGCCCTCTTGAAGAGCCTCCTTTGCTGGAGCATGTGCCTGTCAGAGGGTAGCTTCTAGGACTGAGAGAGTACTTGGAGGAATGAGCACTTGACTCCTTCTCAGAAATCCTTAGGCCTTTAGGACTATGATGCCCTTTGTTGAACTATTTGAGGTAGCTGTGTTGATTTCTTGCTGGCTTCTGGGGGCTGGATAATAAGCAAATCCACTTCTGGAAGAGCAACTGTTTCCCTGAAAAGACCACAAAAACGGCAACTATCACAGCTGGAAGGGGACTTGGCATCAGTCCTTTCAAACATGTCCTTGTACAGATAATTAACCAAGAACCACAGAAGTAAAGCATCTTGATAAGATCCCACACTGTCAAGAGCCAGGGTCATATTCATCATCAGACTCAAATCAGTCCATACAAAGGAGGCAGCTGAGGGCCAGTGAGAGGCCTAGAGTCTACTGGCTGGACACCGATGGATCTTCCCACCTTCTGACTCTGGCCCAAGGCTCTCTTTATGTCCCCAAGCTCCCTCTCTAGGAACTCCCTTCCTAGAATCATAGAAATGGCACCCCACTGCCAGCTTCTTAACAATGGCCAAGGCAAGATTTTAAATAATGACAATACCAAGGCGGGAGGATCACCTGAGGTCAGGAGTTCAAGACCAGCCTGGCCAACATGGTGAAACCCCGTCTCTACAAAAATACAAAAATTAGCCAGGCATGATGGCAGGTGCCTGTAATCCCAGCTACTCGGGAGGCTGGGGCAGAAGAATCTCTTGAACCCGGGAGGCAGAGGTTGCAGTGAGCCGAGATTGTGCCATTGCACTCCAGCCTGGACAACAGAGCGGGACTCCATCTCAAATAATAATAAAATGATAGCAATAACGAGGATCTGCTCTCAGGCGACAGTTGGGACGTTAGGAATTATAAAATCTTCCAAATTAGGTCACATTCGTGTAAAGGAATTAGAAACATCTTTCCCATTTCTTCAGGCCCAAATTAGAACAGGCTCTGCAGAGGGTCCTGGTAGATCAGTCCTCCTCTCAGGCCCATGGGTCTGATTTCCTTTCTCAAACAGCCACTGAACTTTTCTTATGATTATGGAGTGTTTATTGGGTGTGTAGAACGCCTCAAGTGCAGTCTGGAATTTGGAACTGTCACATACTGGCAGCACGACCTCTTTAAGAGGCAGGAACTGGTTATCTCTGCCATCCGGTCCCATGTTGGGGAACTGTCTATGAATCAGCTAAGATGGGTTCCCAGCCCTCCGTCTATCTCCCTTCAAGGTAAAATGGGCTAGTGGGAAAAAAAGTCCATGATCTAGCAGACCTGGCTGGTCTACTTCCAGCCTATGTTACTTAGAGCAAGAATCGACGTTTTTAAGCTTCAGTTTTGTCATCTGTACAATAAGCATACAATACCTGGTCTACCTATTGTGTTGCTAGGAGGATTCATTCATTCATTCATTCATTCATTCATTCAGCAGAAATGTATTAAACACTGATATAGAGATACCCTAGTGAACAAGACAACAAAAAAAGGTGCATACAACATAGTAAGATAATCAATTAACAAATAAATGGGTAAATAATCAAGATATTTACAGGTTAAGCAAGTGCTACGAGGGAGATAAAAATGGTGCTGTGACACAGAATAATATCCCCTTAGAGTGATCAAGGAAAGCCTTGCTGAGATGTGACATTCAACCTGAAAGCAAAAGGAGACAACTCTGTCAAAACTGGAAGGAACAGCAAGTGCAAGACTTTGAAGCTGGAAAGGAACAGAAAGGAAACCAGAATGGTGAAGCATATTAAGTGAAGGAGAGAGTGGTACAAGCTAGAGTGCAGGACTCTGTAGCCAGGGAAGAAGACTGGGCTTCATTCTAGGAGCAAAGAGAAGTCAGGGAGTGTTTTAAGCGGGAGATGAGGGCAGATTATAGAGCAGCAGGGACAGAAGCACAGACGGCAGTCAGAAGGCCGAGTTATCCAGGCTTGAGAAGATGGTGGCCTGGACTGGCTTAGAGGCAGATTCAGAATCTGTTTTAGAAGTGGAATTGTCAAGACTTGCTGTTGGTTTGGGTGTGGGGTGAAGGAAAGACAGAAATACAAAGTTACTCCTAGATTTTGGAATCCACAGGATCACTCACTCACTCATTCATTCAACAAACATCAATTAAACACGTATATCTGCCTGTCTCTAGGCATGGTGTTGGGGATAAAGATGGAGATGAAGAGCACAGCTTTGTAAGGGAAATGGACCAGAAAATAGGCAAATATAATGCATTTAAGTAAGTGCAGTAAGTATTAGAGAACATCGAACTCTGCTGAGGGGACAGAATCAAAGAAAAGTCTTCCTAGGGGAGGGAAGTTTGAGCTAAGCCTTGAAGGAGCAACAGGAATAGCAGAAGGGCTTTGGGGTTATAGAACAGAGCTCTGAAATAATAACAATAGTAGTAGTAGTAGTAGTAGTAGTAGTAGTAGTAGTAGTAGTAGTAGCAGCAGCTACTACTTGTTGTTAAGCCCTAACAATGTGCTAGGTCTGTTGTAAGCATAAATGAATCATTTAATCCTCACATAAGAATCCTATAAAATAGATCCTATTGCTATCATCCCCACTTTACAGATGAGGAAGCTGAGGCATAGTTAACTTCTGTTACATAACTTGCCCCAGATCACGCAACTCATAATGACAGAGCCCGGCTTTAATCACATGCATTTTGGTGCTGGAAGCTATGCTCCAAACACCACAAGAAACTACCTCACTGTGGGACGTCACTGCACATTTAGGGGCTGAGAACAAGTGAAGGACGCATAGGATGTAGGAAGATAGGAACTGATAGGAGGTCAGATAAA